ATCTTATTAACACATCGTCCTTCTTCCTCCCTCCTCTCCTGTTTACCTTCCTTTTTTTTTCTTTTCTTATCTTTTCTTTTCTGAACACAGCGTCCCTCTCTCCTCCCCTCCCTTCCTCCTTCCTCCCTTGGCTCCCAGCTACACAACCCCCTCCCCCCCCCCTCCTCCTCTGCGCCCGGGGCTTACGCAACGCCCCAAAACGGGACCTCCGCCCAAGGGACCCCGGGCTAACAAAAGACGGCGCTTGGGATCTTTACGTAAACCCGAAGATGGCGGGGTTACGTAAACCTTCCTTCCGGTCGGTTTTCTGCAATTATCCTTTACGTAAAGGAGGGATGTGGATATATTTATAGGATTATGTTTGGTGTAGTTGTATTCGTGGTCGTGTTTATACTTATATTCGTGATTTGGATAAAAAAACAATAATATTTATCCTTAGATGGTATGTATATAATATCTATCCTCGGTGTGTATCAATATTCATGATTATGATTAAAAAAAACTTATTCATACTTTAACCTTATGTCCCTACATCAGAACAGAAATAAAACAAGTAAAAAAGAAAAAAAATTATAAAAATAAACAAACTACCCTCAAACAAAGGAGCTAACACAAGCTAGCAAAGTTGGACGGGCAGATCACGTGTTCAACCACGCGGACCCGTTCCCGAAACTCATGTGCCTCTCTAACCCTTTTCGTTCCATCGAAAAAATCATATCGAATTCTTTACTTCGATGCACTTTGTATGAATTAAATTGTGAGCATATGGCTAGGAGGAGTTGGATTGATTAGTTTGATATATAGATGATTAAAATGAAAGAGATAGTGAATGTGTGTGTGTGTGTGTGTGTGTGTGTGTGTGTGTGTGTGTGTGTGTGTGTGTGTGTGTGTGTGTGTGAGAGTGAGAGAGAGAGAGAGAGAGAGAGAGGAGAGAGAGAGAGAGAGAGAGAGAGAGAGAGAGAGAGAGAGAGAGAGAGAGAGAGAGAGAGAGAGAGAGAGAGAGATAAAGAGAGAGAGAGAGAGAGAGAGAGAGAGAGAAAGAGAGAGAGAGAGAGAGAGAATACAGGAAATCTAATTCAGATTATATCTAATTCCATACTTTTGATATGCATTATCTGAATTAAATTATAAATAAACGATAGGAGATTTTTTATTAATTAATATGATCCTATAGATAAAAAGTAAAAAAACAACAACAACAGGAGATATGATTCAGATTATATCGAATCCCACACTCCAGTGCATATTATATGAATTAATCTATAAACACATAATATAATTACTTGAATCTATTAGTATGAAAGCAAGAAAATCGGCAGATTCACGTGTGTATGTAAAGGTATCAAAATATAATGAATATATATTCCTGTTTTGTAAAATGAAAAAATATATAGATATGATTATTAAGCATTGATATAAAATTAATCATTTTTTGCTTGTATTTGATTTTTTTATTATCAAAAATATTATGTCTATGATACTTTTACATACACATTAGTTCAATTTCATACGAGGTAAGTATTTTTTTAATATGATGTAGATTATCATCATTATTATCTATGAGTACTAGTTATATCAGATCTATGATAATGATAATGGCGACAATGGCATTTCTGTTAGCGATTGTGACAATAACAATGCTAATGGTAATGATAATGATAATAATGGTAACAGTGATGATGCCAATAATGATAATAGTGATCATGAAGATAATGAAAGTGATGATGATAGAGATATTGAGTGATAATGGCTTTTATAACGGTAATGATAGGAAGGACAATGACAAAAGTAATGGTGATAAAGATAATGACGGAAATAATGATGAAGATAATGACGAAAACAATAATCATAAAGATAATGACGACAATGTTGATAACGATAATGAGCATGATTATGAATATAAAGTTGAATTAATAGCAACAACAGCTGATAAAACAAATATAATGATAATGAAAGCAATTATAATTTCGATTTCTCTAATTAATTCTAATAATAATTTCCAACTGTATTTCAGCAGGCAATAATAATGATAATCTTATGAATAAGTGTCATCTAATGGTTTGTTGTATGTTCTTAATATCATTATTTGTTTTATTCAGAATTTCAAGCTTATTATCATAACCACTGTTATCATGATAAGTGTATGTTCATTTATTATTATTATGTTCTTATTACTATCATTATAAGTATGTTGTCACTATTATCATTATGATGTTATCAATGTCGTTACCATTAACGATATCATTATTACCATAATCATTATCATTACTATTACTAGTAGTATCGTCATTATCATTATTATTGCTATGATTGTTATTATCATTATCATTATGATTATTACATTACATTATCACCATTACCATCATTATTACTGTTACTGTAATTATAATCATTATTATTATTATTCATTGTTATCATTATAATTTTTTGTGATAATCATCATCGTTACCACTATTACTATTATTACTATTACTATCATTGTCATTATCAATATGATTATTATTACAATCATTATCATTGTTATCATTATTGTTACTATTGTTGATGTTATTATTTTTATTTTTGTTGTTGTTGTTATTAGTACCAGTGTCATCAATATTATCATTGCTATTTTTACTATTTTCATTATCATCATTATGTTTGTTATCATTAACATTATCATTATTATTGCCATTATTATTATCATCATCATCAATTTTATTATTATCACTGCTTTTATTACTCTCATCATCATAATATTAGCATCATCAATATCAATATTGTAATTATTATCTTCATTATTGTCATTATTATTATTACCATTTGTATTACCATCATTATAATCCTATTTATTGATTTCATTAACATTATTACTATTATTATGATTAATATTAACGCCAATATTATCATAATTGTTATCATTATAATAATGAATGTTATTATTATCATTACTATTATTATAAATTTTGATGTTATTATTATCATCGTTATCATTGCCATTATCATCGCTTTCATCATCATTGTCATTGTTGCTCATGTTCTCTCTTTTTTTTTTAAGTTATCAATAGGTCTATTGTCAATATCTTTCTAATAATCACCATTCGTTCTTGCCACTGTTATTGCAGATAGTAGAAATGATGGTAATATTTTTGTAATGAGAGTAATTAGCGAGCTGGATGGCATACAATACAATTGGTTTTACATGCTTTCAATAACACCATAATTACTTGTATTATTTTGATTTCTCTCTCTCTGTCTTGCGTCCTATTTCTCTGTCTATCTCTCTTTTTTTATCTATTTGTTTCACTTTTTATCTATCTATTTTTCTGTCTCAATTTTTATCTATCTTTCTGTCTCTCTTTTTATCTATCTATCTGTCTGTCTCTCTATTTTCTATCTTGGTGTCTCACTTTTTACATATCTAGCTTTCAGTCTCACTATTTATCTACCTATTTTTCTCCCTTTATTTATCTATCTATCTATCTATCTATCTATCTATCTATCTATCTATATATCTATATATATATATCTATATATATATATATATATATATATATATATATATATATCTGGCTGTCTATATTCCCGGCGTAAATATTCGTCACTACAGCCTATCAACACACGCGGTTTATTGCAGTAAATTGTACTCAACATATGTCTATAAAATTTTAGTTTTTTTTCC